CATTATTTGTCTTTGCCAGCTGTACCTAAAGCTCTCTGGAAAGTTCACAATGTTAAATCACCCATCCACATTTCAACCAGGTCTGATACTGCTTAGCTTCCAAGGCACTTCAGGCTATAGAAAAGCTATACAGAAGTGTCAATGGTAAGGATGACATGGAATCAGGTGCTACACTGCCTGTCTTAATCTGTATGAACTATGGTGCCAGAGCTCACCTGCCCTAATTCAAATGTCAAACCTCCATGTGTGAATATAATGTTCATGCATGTATAAAAACCCAGTGTGCATTGCCCAAAGACCCAGGTTATTGAAAGTGGGATATTTGTGCAATTCAGGACCATGCATGTTTCATTTTAGCATATTCAATAATTAGGCCTATGCCCAGAGAACTAGGAAAGGTGGAACAGAACACTTCTGGAGAAGAGGTGAGAAGCAAGATTTTGTCCCCCAACACATGAAGGGAGGAGATCAAGGAGAAGATTAGGTGCATATGTGAGTAACAGGAGCAAGCCAGGAAACATTAATCACAAACAAGCTGAAATCCTTGTAAGCATACTTGGGAGTGAACTTCCTTCAAGACAACAGGTTTCTCAGTAATCCTGAGTAGAATCTGGCTGCTAGTCCCACTGAAGCAAAAGAATGAATTTCATATTTCATAGGGCCATAATTGCAACTAACTTTTACAAGATTGTGCCCAGTAAGTTTTATTGAATCAAGTAGAAAGTGGAACACAATGTCACTTTGAGCTTTTCCCCTTCAGTGGAGATGAAATCTTTGCCATCATTTTCTTTGTTTAATGGCTCTTTCATTCATTTTTTTCACTTACATGAAATATATAAAGGAACGTAATCTGCTGCAAATGTATACAGGGTTTAAAGACATATTTTAAACAAAACAGCTGTAAAACGGAAAAGCTATTTTAACCTAACCATTGTAGCTGGAATGGAAATTTTCGGAGGTAAATAAATATATTTTATAGTTGAAGGTTTATTACTTGGAATGCCCCCTCCTAGTGTTTCATTAGCTCTTTTATTCCTCTAATCCATAGTTGAAATATGATGCAAGAGGAATTAAAAGAGAGGGTGGGGATACATATTTTGCTGTCAGTTTTATTGGCATTAATCTGGACCAACTCTGTTGACATTAATAGGGCAGCGCTGTGTAAATCTGAAGTAACTGATGGAAGAATTCAGCCTAAGGGGGCAATTCACATACCACTTAACACTGCTTGTAGTCTCCTTGACTTTGTTGTAGCTACAGAAATGAAAGTGGCCTGTGAATCACTATCAAAGAATTCTAAAAGCAGACTAGCGATCAGCCAATTAACTTCTCATTGGGGAAACCCTATTCACTTTAGCAGAATTTTTCTTGATTTCAGTCTTGGAAATGAGAACAGAAACCGAGATAAACTGAGCACACACTTCATGGCCTTTTGAAAGTGGCAGAGCACTTACTAAAGGAGCCGTGCTCATGGAAACCTGTTGAGGGTTAAAATGGGCCCAGCATGCATGAGCACGTGCGCACATGCACACGCACCAGTTCCTGGTCCATCAACTGGTGTTAATTATTTTGGTGTGACTCAAGTCAACATACAGTCTTTCACTTTTAAAGCAGCCCACAATGTGCATTTGCTTTTGTTTAAGCCAGGGAAATTTACATACATTTCAGGGGCAAACTGTGGCCCAAATTTATGCAAATTTCACAGGCTTTAAAAAGAAAAAAAAAATCACAAATTGGAACCTGCCTTAAAAGCTGAAGCAGTGAGAAATAAAACCTCAGTTTGGTTGGCTTTTGCTCTTGAGTCAGTGTCCAAAGTCCACCAAATGCAGGTGAGTTGAGTTTCTCAGTGTTATCTATCCCAATTTAGGAGATACTAAATTCATCAGCAGTTGAAATCAGCTCAGTTACCTGGTTGGAAAATGACTTGGAGAACTGCTTTCTGGCACTCAGGATAGACTAGGAATCCCCAATCTGGCTGTTATGGTGCCATGTCTCTAAACAGCAAAATAAGAGGCAATTTCACTGCAGCTCCTCACTGATGTAATGATGCAGGCATGGTCCTGCAATAATAAGAAGTGAGTGCTAACAATTAACCATCTGTGCCTCTGAGTGCAGTCTGAAATTGAAGTATTTATATGTGTTTAAAGGTAATGAGTATTTTATGCTGGCATCTCTCCATGAGCCAAGTTCATACACACATCTGTATCTCTTGTTTTCGCATCACTCATGACACATGGTTGGACACACAGTCCACAGTGTTTAATCTGAAGTGTTAATTTTGCATGTAAATCAGTATTTGACACTGTGAGTCAAGCAGCGTAGTGGAAAACTTCAGCTGGAAAGAACTAAGACTCTTAGAGCAACAACACGTTTATTATGACATGAACTTTCACAAACTAAAGTCCTCTTTATCACATTCATTAATTCAAAAGAAACTAGGATGGATGGGTGGATAGTCATCATATGGTCAATAAATAAGATCACCCCAGTAATATCAACTGAAGGTGGAGCCTGAAATGTTTGCACTTCAACTATCTTCCATTCTGCATTTATCTTATCCCAATAGTTTAATGCTGTGTAGGCTTCACAGAAAAAGACAGACTTGAAAAACACTGATTCCCAGTTCAATTAGTGCGCTCAGGCCCTAATTTGTGCAAATTTCCTCCACAGAATGAATCAGCCCTGATTTAGTCTATGGAGGAAAGTTGCACAAATTATGAAATTTTAACCACCCAGAGAACTTCAGCTTTTGGTTTGTATAAAAATGAAATAAATGGAATACATAAATAAATGTCTGTTGATCTCCTGTTCAATTATCATTTGGTTTGTGTGAGTTTCTGATTTGTGCAGAATGAACAGTGATCACAAATGCAAATGGGAATCAGGCATGAAACAAGGGTTAGGATAATGTGTGGAAAATCCGGCTGATCCTGAACATCTTTTCTTTGCTGAGTCCTATGTCAAAGGACAATAATTATTTGGTACAGATGACATTGTTTATAGCTTTTCTGTGCAATGGACTGAGAAATGGGTTCCATTCTCATCAGCCTTGACAAACCTACAAGTTGTGTTTGATGATGTTCCTCTCTCTCATCAAATGCAGAGATGTTGCAAGAGAGGGAAATGGAAAGGAAATGGATGGAGAAGAAAATTCAGGCAGTATTGCCTAAGGGGTGGGCAAAAGAGTGATAAAAAAGAAGTCATTTTACAAATGTATTAGGAAGGACAGGAGCAGATGGAACAAGGAGGTCTTTCAAAAATACTGTCCCTCCTCATTCCAGCATTCACAGCTTGTATTAAGCCATTGTTTTAAATTTCCAGCAATCAGGGCCTTGCTGGTCTGAAGGGAAACTCATTTTCTCATATCCCAAATTAGACATCGGATACTGTAGCTTATCAGTGTCTATACGATTTACACCAGGGGTCCTCAAACTTTTTCAATAGGGGGCCAGTTGAAAGGTGTTGGCTACACGCTCGGGCCGGTAAGGGGAGCCTGGGTGCACAGGCCGGTGAGGCGCCATCGGGTGAGCATGAGGTGGCATTGGGCACGTGCGGCAGCGACTTGCCCTCTCAGAGAACTTCCAGCGAGTTCAAAACCATCTCTGAGTGAGCAAGCCACCACCTCCCATGCGCGGCAGATGGTGGCACGTGTGGCGGACGGCAATGCGGGCCAGATGAAAGGGCATGACGGTCGGATCTGTTCCACGGACCGTAGTTTGATGACTCATGTTTTGAACATATGAGTCTAGCAGCTGTGTACACTCTGCATGAAGGGACCTGCTTATATACTGCATTACAGAACATCTGGACCTCTGTGGTGGGGGGACACGACAAGGTCTTCATAGCAATTGCTGTGGAGGTTACAGAAAATTCACTAGATCTGAAGATGCTCAAGCATTTCTGATAGGGTGCAAACCCTATTTATGTAATCCCAAATGTGCCACCTATGTACACCAAGGTGGTTGCCTTTCCTGATTAATATTTCATTCCTACTTTTATTATTTTTTTTATTAATCATTTTTATTTTTAAAAAAGTTGGGAAGTTGGCATGTTGCAAAGCAAAAGCCTGCTCTCCAGCACCAACTTTATTTGGGTTCACAAGAACAGGTTCATGTTTGGAGCTCAGACTTCTGTTTTGTGATTAGGTTCTTTGACAAGTATCTTATCTTTTCACGTCACCAGTTTGCCTTCTGAGCAATTTCTGTTTTGTTTAGAAACACAGCAGTGATTTTTTAATAGAAAGAAATCCCACCCATTTTGTTAGCATGTTAGCATGGCTATCTAAAGGAACGCTTGCATCCATATCTGCCCTCCCGCCCCTTGAAATCAGCAACAGATGCCCTTCTCCGGGAACCCTCCGTGAATGATATTAGGAGGGTGAGTACCCGGAGGAGGGCCTTCTCTGCGGTGGCGCCCCACTTATGGAATGCGTTCCCCAGAGAGCTCTGCCTGGCGCCATCATTATTTGTTTTTCGGCGCCAGGCGAAGACCTTTTTATTTAAAACTTATTTTAATTGTTAATTTATTGTGTATTTATAGGTTTTAAATTTTTAAGCTGACATGTTACCAGTTTTTTTAAATTTTTAATTGTATTAATTTGCTATTTATATGTTTTAATTATGTTGTGAGCCACCCCAAGGCTTTGTTGCGATGGGGGTGGCATAGAAATGTTTTAAAGAAATAAATAAATGTCCGCAATATTCTCTCAGAATTCCAAATAGGCTTACTGACTCCAAAAGTCAGAGGACCCCTCCTTTACTTCTGAAAGTCCTATGGCTGTTGGGTAGGTTTTGCACCCACGTATCACCACTGTTGTGAATGCAGCATAATACTTTCATTTTATACTTTTTAACGCTTATCTTTGCTGGAAGTCATACTGACCTTTGCCAGAGCGTTTAATGAATAAATATCCACTAGTGACCAAAAGAATGATGGGGCTGAGACTATTTATAGTAACTTAATTTATGCTACATTTTATTTCATCTTATTGTCCTTTGTAGAAAGAATGTGCGAACTTCATCAAGGTACTTAAGGCCTACAACCAAACTCATTTATATGTTTGTGGAACTGGGGCTTTCCATCCTGTGTGTACATACATTGAAGTTGGTGGTCATCCTGAGGTAAGTGCAGTTAAATACATCCACTTAAAAAATAAAAAATAAAATCATAATTTATCTTTAGCCATGATGTTGTCCCTTGTGACACACCATCCCATCTTAATCTCTCATATTTAAGAGCTAAAGTGTTGTTAAAATGTTTGTGGATTTGGTGAGGCTTTTAATTTCAGGCTTGCTGAAGTTATATTGTGTTTTGGAGGAAATCTAGGATATGAGCTACCCCAAGTTCAGCATCTTCATCTTCAACTGCATTTTAGCAGGAGAGATTTCTCTGTGTGTTTAACTCTCTGAGAGAAAATACTGGGACTTAGAAGTTTTGAAATGGCTAGATCATCTCCATAATCCATTTGGTAATTTTTAATAAATACTAAACATGTCCCCGTGTGTGTGTGTGTGTGTGTGTGTGTG